TCGCTTCACCCTGGTGCTCTCCGTGCCCCCCCAGGCAGCCCGACCCCCCCGCTCCCCTTCCTCCCCGCTCCCTTCCTCCCCGCCTGCCTTCTTGTGCTTTGGGTGTTTATTTTTTTTCCTAGTATCCCAGCAAAGCTCCGGACATCTCGATCAGGAACCCACGGGGGCTGTCAGATGAGCAAATTCAGAAGTGAGTGCCAGGAGGGTGGGGGGAAGGGGATCCTTTCCTCCAGGGATCCGGGAGACAGAACTGGTGGCAAAGCTGCCTGTCAAATTCAGTTCCCTGTGTCTGGTCAATAGATGGATACGGATCGCTAAATTGCCTTGTCTTGAATCATAGAATGGTTTGGGTCGGAAGGGACCTTAAAAACCATCTAGTTCCAGTGCCCCTGCCATGGGCAGGGACACCACGAGACCAAGTTGCTTACATCCATCCAACCTGGCCTTAAACACTTCCTGGGAGGGGACCTCCACAGCTACGTTGAGCAATCTGTGCCAGTGTCTCACCACCCTCACACTCAAGAGCTTCTTACCAATATCTAATTAAATCCACCTTCTTTCAGTTTAAAACCAGAGCCACTGTTGGGATTTTGACACCAAGGGTCCAACCATTTTTGTTCCTCTGAAATGTTACCTGAATCCCTTGGGCCTTTGAAGCTTTTGGTTCTGCTTTGACAGAGGTGGGACTGAACCAAGTCCTTGGGCAGCCCCTTGTTGCCTTTGTGCTGCTGAGGTGCAGCCAAGTGTGTGCAGAGAGAGGCTGGTAGCTGCTGACAGCACAGGAGTAATGCAGCTCCTGCCAGACCTGCTCCGGGGCTGCCATCAGATAAACAGCCTGAGATTCACCCAAACCAAGGGGTGCTGGGTGAGCTCGAGCCAAGGCAGTCAGCAAACCTGCTCTTGCAAGGCCTTTTGAGCACAAAGGCTTCCTGTGCACTGGCTTGTGGGGAGTTGGGAGAGCACATGAATACGTGTGTGCACATGTGCCCATCCTGTGCTGCAGGCAAAGCCTGAAGGACAGTGCTCTCTTTCTTTCTCCTGTCATTATGGCAGGGTGACAGGTATGTGGGACATCTGTGTGAAGCATTTATGCTGCTTTTCCATAGGATTTCCCAGACCCTCAGAAGTGTTGCTGAAGCCAGGCTGGGGACAGAGGTGCTCTACGAGCTGATTGAGGTCAGAGTTGGGGGATATGTGGGGTGACCTGCCACAGACACTGGTTCCTGACTGCCCGAGGGGTGGGACAGCCCTGCACCCATGGTGCATGAAATGTTTGCTTTAATGCTTCCACAGAAGGGGAAGGAGATTCTCACTGACAACAACATTCCTCATGGCCAGTGTGTGATCTGCCTTTATGGATTCCAGGTAGGAATGTGTCCTCCTGACCCACAAGCTGGTTTGGGAAGTGAGGCAAGAGAATGGGGAGCCTCAGGCTTGAAGCTTGGGATATCAGCATGGGACCAGGGTGCCCATCAGCAGCCTCCTGTGCCCCTGGTCTGTAGGCAGTCCTACTGAGCATGAACCTAAGCTGATGTACACTACTGGGGAGGCTACAGCACCCTGTGCTCAGAAACCCTTTAAAGCTGCCCTTTATCCTTCACAGGAAAGAGAAGCCTTCACTAAGACCCAGTGCTACCACTACTTCCACTCCCACTGCCTGGCCCGCTATGCCCAGCACATGGAGGAGGAGATCCTCATGCAGCAGGAGGAGAGAGAGCAGCACCTGGCACCATCCCCGAAACGGGTACAGAGCCCGGGGTTCCTTCCTCTGCCCCCTGCACAGCCCCTCATGACATCTCTGTCACCCCCTTCGGGACATGGAGCAAGAGCTAGCCTGACCCAGCAGCATGGGCAGTATCTTGCCTGCACTGAGAATCAGAGTAGGGATCAGACCTTTCCAACCAAAATTATCCCAACTTTTTAGTACTCTTAGCAGTTGGTTTATTGGATCTCTGGGCCAGTGTCAGCTGTGTAAGGGGGCAGGAGGGTTGCATTTTTGGACTTCGGGAACTGCAGGAGTTAGAAAAGAGAGTTCCTTCCCTAGTCCTTGAACTGCGAGTGTTTGCAGCAGGATAAAAAAGAATCACCTGCATTCTGGGGTGATAAAACAGGCCTGGGCAGCTCTCAGGGTCTCATGGGCTCTCTGTTGAAAGAGCTGTCAGCTGCAGCTGAGCCTGAAACAAGTCAGACTCCTTCCTGCAAAACCCTTTCAAAGAGGTCGTGCCTAGATTTCCAGTTCCTCTTTGGAGTGGGGAAAAATAGATCCTAGCCTAAAGGAGGACTGGAGCCATAAGTGCTGACAGAGGTGGCTTGTACAGCCGTCAGCCACTGGAGCACAAATCTCCATGTGGAGACACCTTCCCAAGCCATCACTGAGACACCAGGCTGCTTTTCTGCTGCTGGAACCCGCCCGGGCTTCCTTGCCCCGGCAGAAGAGTGAAACAGGTCGCCCTCTTCCACTTCCAGTTTGGGGTTATGCAGCGTGGGCTGGGTCGCAGTGGGGGTTTGGAATCACCTCTTGCCTCCCTGCAGGAAGTGGGTGTGCAGTGCCCTGTGTGCCGGGAGACCCTGGTCTACGATCTCTGTGCTCTGAAGGCAGCGCCGCCCCCGCAGCACCCGCTGGTAAGAGATGGGGGCTCAGCTGCCCGGCTGCACCCGCTTGGTGGGGCGTTGCGGAGGATGAGGGAATGCACGCTCTCGGGTCCTTCCGGGTGGCCCACCCAAAAAGCAGATCACAAAACCCAGCAGGGTGTCTCCTGGCTCTCTGATGTGTCTGCAAAGAGCAGGTTTAGTTGTTTAACCCTGGGTCTTGCACAGATGTGCTGGTGTAGGGGTGATTCTGCTTTGAGGCATGAGTTTAGATCCCTGTACTTACTGAGATCTAACCAGGAGAGTGACCAGATTGTAGCTGCTCAGCACCTCTCCCCACAGCAGGATGTCCCAAAGCAGTCACAGCATGAATGGTAGGTCTGTGCTGGCACCCTCTGCCTATGGATTTAAGGTGCATCTGTAGGCCTGGTCAAATGTGGCAAAGGGAAGCAGGGCGCGTGGGTGCTGTGTGATCAACGGAGGGTTTGGGGAGTAGCTGCCTTCCCTTGCTAGGTGTTGAGAGAGCCCTTACCCTGCCTTGCTTTCTGCCGCTCAGGAGCCGTACAGGCCGGACGCCAAGACGCTGCAGCACCAGGAGGAACTGCGCTTGATTTTCAAGAGACAGCAAGAGAAAGGGGGCATCATTGACCCTGAGGCAGAGAGGAACCGCTACTTCATCAGCCTCCAGGCGGTATGGCACTGGGGGCAGAGAGCTGGCAAAGGGGGGCCTGCGCTGCCCCGCCTAGTGATATCATCTGCTGTGGGACTGCCCTGTCTCTTTCTTCACCAGTGGCTTCTTTCTTTCAGCCTCCAGCTGCTGTTGACCCAGGCCAAGCAGCCACTGCCCCCGAGCTGCCGGGGAGCGTGGGCTCTGCTGGCGGGCCCCCGCCGCCCAGCCCAGCCTCAGCCCCAGAGCCAGCTGGGGCAAAAGAGGCCAGGGCAGAAGCTGGGCAGCCTGAGAAGCCTGCTCTGCCCAGGGAGCAACAGAGCAAGAGGGAGAGGCACAGAGGAGAAAGGCCAGGCCCCAGAGGCCAGGGCAGGCACTCGTGCAGTGGCTTGCAGGAACCAGCAGAGGAAGCCTGTCGTCTTCTCCATGGCTCCAGGGGGTCCAGGGGCTTCAGCCGGAGACCAGAGCGGAGACCTGGTGGGAGGCACAGCCAGGACTTTCCAAAGCCTCACAGCAGAAGCAGGGTTGCTGCCTCGGCTGAGGGAAAGGAGTTGTGCCCTGAAGACTCCTCACCAGCAAAAGAGGCAGTGGACTTGAAAGAGGAGCACCATGATGTGGAAAGATGGAACCCCGAGGAGGGGGCTGAGGCCCAGGGCAGGGAAAAGGAGAACCTGGCATTCAACCGCAGTGGCCACAGAGCAGCTCCCAGCTGGCAGGGCCACCACAGGCCCTGGGATTATGGGAGGTGGGAGAGGTCCAAGGTCCAGGAGCATGGTTCCTATCCCAGAGCACCAAGAGGGCGAGGGGTGTTCAGGCCCAGTGGACAACGAGAAGCCCCTGTCCTTGAGAAGGAGAGTGGCTCCTAGCAGGACTGGTGAGGGGCTGGGCTGAGGGAGGGAAGGGCCGTTTCTGGGGAGAACAATGAAAGCTTTGGTGGAGCAGTAGCAAGCAGACACTGTATCCCTTGGGAGAGAGGAGGCAAATGGCATGTGGCACAGCTTGAGATGGGCAGTGTCACCAGGGTACGTGCAGGGGGAAGCATCCTCGTGTGAGTGACTGGCTGTCACCAGCACTAGAGAAGCTGACTCCTGGACAGATCATGTCAGCCATGGTATTGGAGGACTCAGGGGACAAAGGAAGCCTTGTCTGAGGACCTGCAGCCATCATCCCTGTATGTGAGCTGTCAAAAAATGTGCATACCTACAGAGCAAAAGGACTGTGTCCAGCAGAGTGCCACAGCAGAGTCAGAGTTGTGGCAGGACCTTCCCTGGAAGTCAGTGTCCTGACAGAGCTGTGGTGGTGCCAGGTGATGAGGCGGTGCCAGGGCAGCAGCCTGGAGCTCAACTTGCTGTGTCCTCTAGTCCTTCTCAGAGCACCTTCTCAACTGCTGTCCCTGTCCCTTGGAAACATCACTTCTCCCACAGCAAGTCCTTCCTGCTCCTCCAGAAAGCCTGAGTTTAGCTGGAGTTCCTGCAATGTCCTTCAGCTGCTTTGCGCAGGCAGAAGCTGATATGGGAGACCTGAAAAGAGCACTCTGCTCTGCAACCTGTATATTTGGATCCTGCTCCAAGCCCAGGCTGTCTCTTGGAGCTCCTGACAGCCCAGAGTGAAGACGTGCTTGGGATAGTCTTACCCTCCTTTCAACTACAAGCTGATCTTGCTTCAAAGAAATGAGGACTTGCTGTTTAATCTGACTTGGTGCAGTTCCTTCTGCTGCTGCTTCACAGATGTAAAGTGTCCCACTCCAGAGCCCCAAAGGGCAGTCCCGAACCTCTGAAGTGGCACACTGTTATAAATTAATTCATTGGGTCTTCTCCAGAGCCTGCTCCCTTTGTTTTCTCTGTCTTCTCATTCCTGTTCTTTGCTGTTTGGAGTGAAGGTTTTGATCCCAGGTATTGCTCACTCCCCTCCTTGCTCCCTACACCCAGGCCCAGGGAAGACTTTCCCCTGGCACTCCTGGGTGCAGGAGGGCTCCAGTCCCTGCTTTGCCTGCCTCAGTGCAAGCTGACCCAGGTACAGCCAGACCCTGACTGTACTCATTCCTTCACGCTTGTTTGTGCCTTGTGCCCCCCACCTTTCCTCTGGCCACTTGTGGGTTGTTACTGTCTTCCTCCTCCTGCTGAGTGCAGAAATGGCCGTGCTGCAAAGGACTTGCCAGAGCTGTGGGTTAGGTCCCTCAGAAGCCAAGGACCGTGTGCCAGCTGGGAGGGCATTGTTGCTGCATCTGCCTTCAGCACGTGAAGGGTGCCCAGAAGCTGTCTCTCGAACAGGCCCTCCTCAGCTCCTGCCCTGCTTGCTCCAGGCCTGGCCTTGTCCTGAAGGGTCTGGTTTAACCTTCTGCCCAAGAACTTTCCATTCTTCAGTTTCCAGCACTGTCCTATTTTCAACCCTAATGCTCTAAAAGCTTTGTTTTTTGCTCCTCCTTGGTCTGAGGCTACACTACTTGCCCTGGGCTTGGGGACCTGAGAGCCAGACATCATGCTTTCCTGTGGACAAAGGCTGAACATTCGCTCTCTGAAGAGAGCCCTAATTTTTCTTCAGTGCTCACTCTTTGTTCCAGCTGGTTCTTGGGTGAACAGCCTGTCCACACTTGGGTGACAAAGTGTAAACTTTATTTGACATTGGTGCTTGTTCTGCTGCCTCCTGCCTTCACTTGCCAAATTGCCATGCTCCAGAAAGGCTTTTGATTATGTCCTGAAAGAAACTAGTATCTCTGCTCCTCACAGCAACTGAAGTTCCATGACTTCCTCCAGTCAGCCAGGCTTAACTCTCAGAAGGAAGACTGCTGTGCCTGGTGTTTGGAACATGTTCAGCCATGGAACTTGGCGTGAGCTAGGGCTGGGGTAACTTCAGTTAAATGCCAGATGTGTTAGAGGGGAGGGATTTTTCCTGGGATCAGGGAATAGTCACCTTTCTGACTCATTGCTGTCAGCCTGGAGGACAGGACATTTTGCAACAGCATGTGGAAATAAATTTAGGCTAAACAAAACAAACCTCCATATTGGAAGGAATGGAGCCTGCAACCTACCCTGGGGCTCCTGGCTTGGTGTCCACCTGCGTTACCCACCTACCTCACAGGGCTGTTGTGAGGTTTGACTGGCAAAAGCACTCGGGCCGGGCAGAGGGGCAGTGGCAGCATCTGTAGCATTAACACTATTAAAAGCAAGCAGTGACAAATGTCTGTGCTCTTTTGTGGTGGCACTGGGCCCCCTTGGCTCTCCCTCCACTCCCCCATCCTCCCAAACTGCTGTGAGGTGCTTGCCCTCTACTCACTGTCCAGTTTTGATTTCCCCAGCGTTGAGGGAAGAGGCTGGATCTAAGGAGTCGGCATCTGCGGGAAGGCTGAGCACAGGGTTTGGGATGCCAGCAGCAGCACCCTGCTCTGGGAGCCACCCTGAGGCACTGGAGATGCACCCCTGTGGCCACAGGATCAACCCTTCAGTCCCAGAAACGTTTGTGAGTCTGGACTTGCACCAAAGCAGCGCCCATTTGTACTGAAATTCGGCTGGGCCCCCTCGTACCCCACGTGCTCTCAAGCTTCCCCCTCAGCCCTGCACGGCAGAGCCCAGAGGAGGGCTGAGCAGAAACCAAACATTTGGGTTTGGCCTGGAACCAGCTCCTTCAGCCCTGCCACAGTGGCACAGTTCCTGAAGTGAGGACGTGAACATGGGGCTGGCTCTGGGGAAGCTGATTTTGGCATTCTGAAATGGGGAACAGGGAGGGGAGGCTCTGGCTGGCTTGTCCTTTAGGTGAGCACACATGCCCTGTCCCCTGGCTCTGTGGAGGGACAGAACCTTCCAGCTTCTCCATTGCGTTCCAGGCACCTGTGGCTCTACCAGCCCATCCAGGACTTTTGTTCCTGGCAGGAATGAAGCCTAGTGACAAGGAAAAGGCTGTGAAACTACCAGTGGTGGGCCAAATCCTTCTTTCAGCCATGCTGGGCCTCTCCTGTTGGAAGTAGAGTAGTAGTCACCTCCAACAGGGATTTCTGCACCTTGCACTGAGCTGGTCTGGCTGCAGAAATTTGTATTTGGGTTAATATGCTCTTTGGAAGATACTCTGTAACCGGCCAAAGCCTCTCATCTGCACCTACACAGGTCTGCAATAGCTTCAGGGCCCCACGTCTCCTCCTCTGGCAGGAGGGACAGTCATGCCTACCCAGGAATGATGTCCAAGCAGATCAGCGACTTGTCCTCGCAGCCTGACAGGGCAGGAGCTGTGGCACCAGCCTGCAGCCGCAGGGACAAGAGCTCTCTTGGGAGCTGCTTTTTTTGTGAAACACTCTGGATTTGCAGTACTGGCCATGCAAGGCCCTGGTCAGGAGAGCTCTGGACCAGCAGCTGGACAGTGGGGCAACTAACAGGCAAAGGGAATGGAGAGCTAAGAGCCATGTTGTGCACTTCACAAAGGATATTCCAACACCAGAGACAACCACTGTCCCTTCAAAGACCAGCAGATCTTTAGCAGTGCAGCACCCCGATGTCCTGCCCCCAGGAAATGCCCTTTTGAGGCACACCCAGGCTGTCCTGCAAGGAAGGGGGTTCACATCCAGCAGCCTGGGCAGCTTAGGGTCCTCCCAGCATGAGGCACACACTGGTGAGCAGGGCCAGTGCAGCAGCACCCAAATCTGGGGAGCAGCAAGAGCTGATACCTTCTCCCTGCTGCAAGGCCGGGAGCTCTGACTCTGTTTTAATAAAAACCCAAGGCTTTGGAGGGGAAGAGATTAACAGAGACCTGGATCCCTCCATTCTCTGCATGGCTGGACAGCTCCACAACATCCTTAGGATGGCCACATCCTTGTCCCAGTCCTCTCAGTGCAGCAGGGGAAAGCTGGCCCTTGGTCACTGCAGGATGGAGCCTATGTTTGAAATGGCTCCTTTGGGGTCCATCTTGTAGAGCATGAAGTGGCCCTGCACCTGGGCAGCGCTGAGCTGCTTGGAGACAGCCAGTGCCTGCTGGGCAAACTGCTGGGCTGCAGCTGGAGGCTGCTCGGGGTAGAAGCGCTGGAACATGCAGGCAAGCTGCCCACGGGAGCAGTGGCCCACGTACTGCTTGAGATCCACACGGCCAGGACGCACCAGGGCTGGGTCCAGCCTGCCAAGAGAAACGGGGGAGCCTTGAGAACCTGATCAGAGCTGTCTCTGCAGGGTGGGTCCTGCAGGAAGCACCCCCTCATCTATGCTAGCACAGCCAGTGACTGTCCTGCCTGCAAGGTGCTCTGCACTGTGGGATGGTAAAGGAGGGGAAGAAGTTTGTCCTTCTGGGGTTGAGGGGGAAATCAACCCCAAAGAAGCAAGAGAGCTGGGGAAGGGCTGGCTCTGGGAGAGGACAAGCATGTCCTGACAAACATCTCTGCCCATCCCCTGAGCAACCTCAACAACTCCAGCTCAGTCTGGAGTGAGCCAAGCCTCCCACAGGACAGGCTCCATCCTGCCGAACCAAGGTGCTGTGCCTGGGGCCAGTGTTTTACTGGCAGCATGACCACAACCCCAAAATCTGCAGGGCAGGAAGCTGGTACCACTCCTGAAGGGCACAACCATTTGTCTGAACAGCAAGGAAGCACCCAAGGCTCCAGCAAAAGGGATCCTGATTAGCAGTCAAGGAATTTACATCCTAAGGGGGGATTTGGGAAAGCTGGACCCCCAGTCTTCCCACTGGAGGATGAAAATAGCCCCCCACAAACCCCATCAAGACGGAGCAAGGTTTTCCCATCCCTGTTCCCTTTCAGAGGGCAGCTCTGACCTGTCCACGTAGTTGGTGGTCATGAAGACAATCCTGGCCTCTGTGGAGGCCACACCATCCAGTGCGTTGAGGAGGCCGCTGAAGGTCAGGCGTCCCATGCCCTGGTACACAGCCGGGTCTGGGG